CCCCCAATTTCCCGGGTCGGGGGAGCGCTTTGGCCCCAGCCCGCCAAGGGGGGGGGGGGGGAAGGACCGAAGCGGCCCCCTTCGGGGGTGCCCACCGGTGGCCCGGGCCGGGGGGGGCGGTCCCTGGTGGACGGCCACGGGGCTGGCACCGGCAGGGGGGACCTGGCCCCCAGAGGCCCGGGGGGAATTTCGATAAAAAATCGCGGTGGGGGGCCGCCTTTTTCCCCCGGCCTTCCCGGGGGGGGCCTTCCCGGCGCCCCTTTCTTGGGGGCCTTTTTTTCCGCGGCCTGGGTTTCCCCTTGGGCCCCCCCCCCCCCCCCCCCGCCCGCCGCTCCCCCCCCTCCGTCGCCCCCCTCCCCGCAGCCCCCTCCCCGCCGTCCTCCCCCCCCCTCCCCCCTCTCCGCCGCCCCCATCCCCGCCGTCCTCCCCCCCCGCGGCACTCCTCTCCCTCGCCGCCCTCCTCCCCGCCGCCCTCCTTCCCGTCGCCCTCCCCCTCGCCACCCCCCCCGCCGACGCCTCCCCCTCCGCCGCCCTCCCCCCCACCGCCCTCCCCGCCGCCCTCGTCCCCGCCGCCCCCCTTCTCGCGACCATCGTCTCCGCCGCCTTCGTCTCCCCCTCCGCCACCCTCTCCTCCGCCGCCCCCCCCTTCGCCTCCCCCCTCTCCGCCGCCCCCATCCCCGCCGTCCTCTCCCCCGCCGCACCCCTCTCCCTCGCCGCCCTCCTCCCCGCCGCGGGCATCGCTGCGGCAAAAAGCGCCCGTCCTTTGCTTTGCGTGTCTCGAGGCCGGTATTCTCGTATTATCGTATTATCGTGCGCAGTATGGTATTGCGTGGAGGCGGTCGTACAGTATTTTCGTATCACTAGCTCCGAGTAGAGGGGGCGTTCTGCAGTTAAGGGGAAACCTGGTACACGGGGCCCTCTCGGAGAGTATCTCGTATTACTAGCTCCGAGTAGACGTATTACTAGCTCCGAGTAGAGGGCAGCGTCCTGCAGTTAAGGGGAAACCTGGTACGCGGGGCCAACCATGGCCCTGCGACCGCGCACCCCCCCACGGTCGAGGAAGAGGGTGCGTTCTGCAGTTAAGGGGTAACCCGGTACACGGAGCCATCCCTCGGAGACGTGTTATGGCCCTGCGACCGCGCACCCCCGGGGCTAGGGCTCTCTTGCCCGCAACCCGATGCCGAGCGTCCGGCCAACTGGATGCGCTTCTTAGCTCCCCGGTCCTGGACGTGAGGTTGCTGACCGCACTCCAAGTGCTCCAAGTGCTGCCTAGCGCTCTGTTGCCTACACACGCACACACGCACGCACACACAACACACACACACAACACACACACACACGTGCTTGGAGCGGCTTTTCTCCCGCGTTCCAGCAGCGAGGCAGGCGTCGACCACCTCAGACAGTTCGCTCGGCGAGGCCCGAGGCACAGAGATGGAGGCCTCTCCGCAGGGGCGAGGGCGCCGCCAGACCGAGCAAGCGCGTGGCCCTGAAGGCATTAACGGAATGCGGCTCGGCCGCTCGCTCGCGGGGTCGCCGGGGTCTGTCTGTGCACCTCCATCAGAGTGATTCTGAGATCAGGTTGGGCGACTGGCAGACATTTCAAAAATTTGGCGCCGCAGGCGCCCGCTGCGTGCCCACCATGGTTGGGCGCGCAGCGAAGAAAATTTTGCGCTCTCGACAGCCTTTTCTAATAGGAAAATGGCCTCTACTCGGCGCCATACCGCTTGTCGGCGCACAGCGGAGTTCGCAAGCCGGACCTGCTGCCTTCCCTTCTACGTACACTTTCAGAATGGAGGCTCAAACGCAGCGCAGGGCTCAGACCAAGTGCAAGTCGATTTGTACCACAAAGTTGGTAGACAGTGCCAAAACCGCGGAACCGAAAATGGCGTTTAATTTCGCGCACCTGCTGTCCGCCGCCTGTGGCGGCGCTCCGCACCGCTTGAGGCGCCTGCGGCGCCCCTGGCGGCGCGCTGTCCGCGCGCCCCTCTGTGGTTTTCGTGGGAGGCTCGGCTCTCGTAAGTCTCGATTTGTACAGGATTTCGACGTTAGTGGCAAAACTGCGGAACCGAAAATGGCGTTTAATTTTGCGCACCTGCTGTCCGCCGCCTGCGGCGGCGCTCCGCGCCGCTTGGGGCGCCTGCGGCGACCCCCTGGCAGTGGCAGCAGTGGTGTGTACGGCTGCGGGTGCGCCCGGTACACAAAACCGGCGCTCTATGGCGTGCTCCGGGGGAGCACGACTACGCAGTCGTGGCTTCCACACGCGAGAGAGTGGCTTCTATATTTACGAAAACATTGGGCGTCCCTAGTGCCGCATCCATAAGAAGTGACGTCACGGTTCCAGGAGCGCCTGGCGCGGCACAGCTTAGAGTGGCAGCCGAGCGCCGGCCACGACTATCGAGTCGCCGTCGCGGAGCTGAGGGCTGGCCGACGGGTGGCGCGGTCTTCCTCCCAGCGCCGCCCATCGGTCAGCCCTCAGATCGATCGATCGGCGCTCAAAGTCGCTTCAGATCCGAGAAAGCTGCTGGCGCCGCTGCCGATCCCAGCCGCGACGCCAGCAGCTTCCTCTGCTCTCCAATGCGCCGAGAAGCGACGCGGCGGTGCTCGGCTCGCCATGCACGATGACGGCTCCGCTGGGTGCTCGTCGGCCGGTCCGGTGGCACCCTATTCGCGCGTCACCTGCCGGCGTCCCGACGACAGCCTCGCGCCGCCGCTGATGGAGGGGCGGTCGGCGCCACTGCCGCCGCGCCGCCGGTGGGAGAGGCACTGGTGGTGGCCTGGGCGGCCCTCCGCCGCCGCTCGGCGCGCCCGGGCAGCGGTGGCAGCCTGCGCCGCCCCCGCTTCGAGCGGGCGCCCCCGCTTCGAGCGGGCGCCCCCCCGCTTCCAGCGGGCGCCCGGGACGGGTTCCCCGCTTCGAGCGGGGAGATGCGGCCTGGGATTCGCTTTCTGAAATGTCTGCCTCCAAAGGGGAAACGACTAACCTGATCTCAGAATCACTCATCAGGTCGGTCGGTACGCGGCACCGCCTCGTCCAGCGCGGAGCTGCAGCAGCCGCACCACCGCCGCCACCCGTCGACCCAGCGCCAGTCGACCCTGCCGCCGCCGCTGGCGGCTTGGCCGCACCGTGCTTGAAGTGCCGTGCTTGAAGTGCCGGACGGCAGCCTCATCGCCACATCGGCGTCGGTTGGTTGGTCCCTCGGCCTTGTCTGTTCCGTTCTTCTTTCTTATTTTTGCGATGCCGGCTTCTTTTGGCCTCCCATACCCTACGCGTGTAACAGAACGATTTCTTTCTCTCAGGGGCGGGCGGCGCCGCAGGGCTCGCGCTCGCAGGCGCCTCCGTGGCCTGCGCCTGCCGCTCGTGGCGCACCGCGCGCTCGAGCTGCGAGTGCGGGTGCAGCTGTACGATGACGTCGCCGCTCTGCGTCGCGGTGAAGGAGACCGAGTACGGCGCTTCGCCGTCGTTCTTCTTCTCCGCGTAGACGAGCGCGTAGTCGCACACCTGTCGTTGGTGGTCAGTGAAGATGGTCTCTGTGCAGCGCTCGGCGGAGCCGACGCGAGAGAAGTGCCGCCTGAACGCCATGCGTTCAGGCGCTGTTTGAATTCTTTTCTCCTCCCATACCTTAGGCAGGCCACGATTTCTTCTCTCAGGTAGCGGACGCCGCTCGAGAGGCTCGACGGGCCCAAGACGTGAAACACCGGCTCTCTTTGCAGTGTGCCCCATGAGCGGCCTCAAATCGAGCGAGGACCGCCGGCGCGAGGTGCGCTGTCGCGCGCCCAGCCTCGGACGCCGTCGCACGCGCTGCCGCGCACGCGAGCGCTGCGAGCGCCGCCTGCACTCACGTGTCCGGCCGCCGCGCGCACAGAGGGAGCTCGAGGAAGCGCGCAAGGCGGGAACCATCCCGGCCGAGCGCGATGCCGATGGCAACGAGATCAACCCGCACATCCCGCAGTTTATGGCGCAGGCGCGCATCCCCTCGACCCGCCGCCGCCACCGTACACCACCACGTCGCGCCCCTCGCCGCCGCCCAAGCCGCCCGTGCCGCCTCCCCGCGCGACTCGCGCCGCCCCTCCCGCCCTCGCCAGGCTCCGTGGTACCTCAACGCCGAGGGGCCCGGCCTGAAGCACCAGAAGAACCTCAAGCAGAAAGGGCAAGTCGCGAGCGCCACCGACTTCAAGCCGCGCGGACAGAAGGCCGGCCCCGCCGCAACCTACTTCCGCAAGGGCGCCTGCACCAACTGCGGCGCGATGACGCACTCCACCAAGGTGGACACCTCCGAGACACCTCCGAGACACCTCTGAGACACCTCCGAGTCCGCAGACGCTTCCTAGACGCCTCTCAGACGCCCCTCAGGCGCCCCCCCCCCCGGCCCCCCCCCCCTCCAGCCCTCCAGCCCCTCTCCGCCCGCAGGACTGCGTCGAGCGGCCCCGCAAGAAGGGCGCAAGGTACTCTGGCAAGGACATCAAGCCGGACGAGGTGACGGTCGACATGGCGTACGACTACGCGGGCAAGCGCGACCACTGGGCGCAGTTCGACCCGGCCGCGCACATGGACAAGATCCGAGCCCACGAGGCGGAGGCCGAGGTGCGGCGCAAGGCCGCCCAGCAAAAGAAGCTCGGAGAGCTGGCGGCGCGCGAGCGGAAGCGCGAGCGCAGGGGCAAGGGCAAGGAGGGGGGCGAGGGCGACTCGGCGACCGACACCGACACGGACGGCAGCGTGGGTCCGTCGGACGACGAGAAGGTAGACGAGGCGGAGCAGGTCATCATCGGGCAGGACGTCAAGGCGCCGGCCGGCAAGGCGAAGGCGTCGGTGCGCAACCTGCGCATCCGCGAGGACACGGCCAAGTACCTGCTCAACCTCGACGTCAACTCGGCCTACTACGACCCGAAGACGCGCTCCATGCGCGACAACCCGCTGCGCGGCTCCGCCCTCGCGGACGCGTCGACCTTTGCGGGCGACAACTTCCAGCGCGCGACCGGCGACGCGGTTCAGATGGCGCAGCTGCAGCTGTACGAGTTTGAGGCGTACGAGAAGGGCCAGTCGATGCAGATGAACGCCGACCCGACGACGGTCGAGATGATGAACAAGATCTACCGCGAGAAGAAGGAGAAGCTCAAGGACACGCGCTCAAACAAGATCCTCGAAAAGTACGGAGGGCAGCAGCACCTGGCCGCACCGCCCAAGGAGCTGCTCTTCGCGCAGACAGAGGACTACGTCGAGTACGACCGCTCGGGCGGGCTGCGCGCGGGCAAGGAGAAGGCGGTCGCCAAGTCGCGCTACGAGGAGGACGTCCTCGAGCAAAACCACCTCGCCGTCTGGGGCTCCCACTTCGACACGACGACCTTTCGCTGGGGCTACGCCGACGACCACTCGACGCTGCGCAACTCGTACTCGACGGGCGCGGCGGGCAGGCGCGCGAGGGAGATGGCGGCGGCGGCGCTCTCCGCGCCGGCCGCCGCGGCGGGCAGCGGCGACGCGGCGGGCGGCGCGGCGGCTGGCGGGCTGAGTGCGGCGAGCAGCGGCTCGCTCGACCAGCGATCGCTCTACGGCGCGGGGGAGGGGCTGGGCGAGGCGCACCTCGACGAGGCAAAGGCGCGCGCTCGCACACCCGCTGTCCTCGCCCCCGCCCCTCGCGGCCGCGTCCGTCTCCGCCGCCGCCCCTCACCGCCGCCTTTGCCGCCGCCCTCGCCGCCGCCCTCGCTTGCACCCTCGCCGCCGCCGCCCCGAGAGGGAGAGAGAGAGGGCGAGAGGCGAGGCGGCGCGTGCGAGCGGCCCCTCACACACGGCCTCCTTCGAGGCAGGTGCGCGCCGCGATGGAGGCGGAGGCCATCCGCCGCTCGGGCGCAGAGGTCGACGACCGCAAGAGAAAGTTCAACTCGATGCAGGCGCGTGCCCTCCCTCGCCGCACCAGCCGCGGCCGCGAGGCCACCGGACCCGTCTCCTATCGAGCCCACCCTCGCCCCCCGCCCGGCGACATGCACCCGCACCCTTCTCGGACCCTCCTCGGACCCTTCTCGCGCAGGCCGACGAGACGAGCGCGGAGGCGATGGAGGCGTACTACCGCTCCAAGCAGCGGGCAGACGACCCGATGGCGGGCTTATAGGCAGGGTGCGCCCGTGCGTGCGGTGGCGCACGCGAAGCTCGCGAGCGGGGCGACTCGCGGGGGTGTGCACACATTTCGGCGCGGGCGTGTCACGTGTGCGCACGCGCACACACGGTCACACGACACACCCCCGTGCGGCCCCGACCGTCTGGGCCGTCGCTCGACGATTCAGGCCCGAGTATTGGTCAAATCGCCGGCCCCCTGCATCGCGCCCTGGCGACGCCCCAGTGTTGTAACCTGTGTTTGGTGAATAATCTCGCATGCTGTGTATCAAAAAGAAGGAGGCAGTGTTTCACAGCTCACACCAGTCACCACACTCGCGAGAGCCGAGGGGCCTGCTTGGTGGTCATGACTGGCCGGACGTGGCAGCGCCTCACCGCCTCCGGAAGGTGATTCGTCCCTTTGTCAAGTCGTACGGAGAGATTTCACACGTGACGTGGTCGCCGACCAATATCTTGATGTAGTTCTTGCGGATCTTGCCAGAGACGTGGGCGAGAATGACCTGCTCGGTGTCATCGAGCTGCACCCTAAAGTTCGCGTTCGGCAGCGCCTCGAGCACCACGCCCTCCAGCTCGAGCATGTCCTTGTTCGCCTTCATCTGCACCGCCGCCGCCGCGGAGCGCGAGTGGCCCGGCGGCACCGCGTGGAGCACGGCAGCGCCCGCGACGACGGGCGCGGCGACCGGCGAGGAGGGCTGTCGGCCGACGGCGAGCCGCGACGCGGGGTGGTGCGCGAGCGCGGGCGATGCGGCGAAGCCGAAACAGCCCGGGGCCGCGAGCAGCAGCAGCAGCGGCGTGGCGCTGGCGCTCGAGGAGACTGCCATATCTCAGAACCAACGAGAGTAAACGGATAGAAACCAGAACACCACGAGCCCTCGCACATGACAAGCGATCCCACGATTGCGAATGTGGGGACTACATGATTACAGGAAGGGTGGAGGGGCCCGTCTGCAGAGCTAGGCGGCGCGGGCACCCCCCACTGGGGCCGAGGACAAGAAACCGTTCGCCACTTGCTTGTTCATTTTGCTTGTTGATCCCGTCGGTACGCTCCTTGCGCGCCTGCTTGTTGATGTTGTCGGCGTCGCCCGCCGACGGCGCACATACGAGTATTTTCTTTTTCGACTAGCGAGTTCCTGATGGCGTCGTTGACTCCCTGGCACCGCCTCGCGACGCGCCCCGCCGAGCCGTCAGCTCGAGCTGAGGTGCGCACCATTTGCGTCATCGGCGCCGGGCCGTCGGGCCTCGTAGCGGCAAAGCATCTGAGGGACGTGGGCTACACCGTGACGGTCCTCGAGAGGTCCTCAAAGGTCGGCGGCACGTTTGTGCACAAGGCGTACGACGACGCGCGGCTGGTGAGCTCCAAGTACCTGACAGCCTTCTCGGACCTCCGCTCGCCGACCACTGCCGCCGACCACATGAGCTTGCCCGAGTACGTCGCCTACCTCGAAGAGTACTGCGACCGGCAGGAGCTCTGGTCCCTCATGCGCTTCGGGACGGAGGTGCTGCGCGTGACGCGCGAGACGGTGAACGGCGCGCTCGTGTACAATGTCGAGACGCGGGCGTCGGAGGCGTACCCGGCCGATGCAGGCGGCGCGGCGCAGGCGGGCGAGGGCAGGACGCGGACAGCGCAGTTTGACGCGGTGTGCGTCTGCTCGGGGCTGCATGAGGTGCCCTACACGCCTGCGATTGCCGGCGCCGACAGCTTCGACGGCGTGTCGCTCCACTCGTGCGAATACAAGGAGCGGAGACACAACACTTCCACGAGCACTGCGCCTTGCACTCTCAATGCCGTGCCGCCCGTCTCCAATGTCTCCAATGGGGCGTGGAGATGCGAGGGCTGCCTTGTGAACTGTTGACGAGAGTTGTGAATTGCCTTAGGAGCGGAGCCTCTTCAAGGGGCGGCGCGTGCTCGTGCTCGGCTGCGGCGAGACGGGCATGGGCAGATAGATGGGGAGGCGAGACACAGTCAGACCAGCGACTGGCACACCGGCATAATCTGGGTGGACGCGAGGGCCGGGGATGGCGGCCACACTGGAGCGACACACACACACACACACACACACACACACACACACACACACACACACACACACACACGCACGCACGCGGAGACAAGACACTCAGCCAGTCGCACCTCTTGAGCGTACTTGCCACAGGCATGGACCTGGCCTACCGCGCGGTGCACACGGCGGCCGCCACGGCCGCTTGCGTCCCGCGAGGCTCCGCACGCGACGGTCGCGCCGTGTGGGACCGACTCTCTTTGGCGAGTGTAGGCCATCTCGGTCAAGCGCGGCTTCCTGGCGGTCCCATACGAGGGGTGGGGCGGCGTGCCGCTCGACACGCTCATCGCCAACCTCTTCGAGCACTGCCACGAGCACTGGTTGCTGCACGCTCTCCACGTCAAGTGGGCGGTCACAACCGTCTTCATCCGCGCCGGGTTCTGGCTCACGACGGGCAGCTCCGCTGGGTGGGACCAGTGGGTGGGGCACGTCGAGCAGGCGCCTCTAATTCATTGATTATTAAGTACTCTCTTAATTAACGAGGAGTGGGTGGGGCACGTCGAGCAGGCGCCTCTTCATTCATTGATTATTAATTAATCTCTTAATCAACGAGGAGTGGGTGGGGCACGTCGAGCAGGCGCCTCTCCCGCTCCACTCTCTGCCCTGGCCCTGCCCGCCGCCTCATTTCGCCGCCTCTCCCCACCTCAGCTCTCACTGCCTCCTCTCTCACCGCCGCCTCTCTCCCGTCCGCTGCCTCTCTTCACGCGGTCGCCCCTCCAAAAGCTGCTCCACTCCCCCCCTTGCCGGCTCGAGCAGGTCAAGCGCGGCCACCACATCCTCTGCAAGTCCACCGCCGCCCTGCCCTTCATGAACCGGCCCGCCAAGCGGAAGACGGGCCCAGATGCGGAAGACACACCGCTCTCAAACCAGCACAGTGACGCGTATTCCTGCGGTACCCCGCTGTACTGACTGTGTCCGCTGTACCCGTCGCCCGTGTATTCCTGCGGTGCTCCGCGCATCCGCCGACCTGACTTGTGGCGCGCTCGCGAGGCAGGAAGACGTGGCGCCACCGCCTCTGGTCGTGGCTCGACCCGCCGCACAAGCGGGTCGACAAGGACATCCTCACCTTCCCCGCCCCCGCAAAGATCGACGGCCGCCGCGTCACCTTTGTCGACGGCACCACCTTCGAGGCGGACGTGCTCGTCTACGCGACCGGCTACTGCCAGCGCTTCCCCTTCCTCGAGCCCGTCTCCTGCCCGCCGCCCGCTGCCGGCGGCGCAGGCGAGGCGGGCGGCTGGCGAGGCGGCAGCGGCGCGAGGGGGGAGGAGGACCCGCTGCCGAGCGAGCACTTCATCGTGTCTGCGGAGGTGCGACGTAGATGCCGAGTACTACCCCCCCCCCCCTCCCTCCTCCCCCGTATTCGCGTACAGCCGCGTCCCGGCTGGAGGCGGCTGTGCGGCACAGCGCCTCTCTTCGCGACCCTCTCTCCTCGCCCGCAGGAGCCCACCCTCGCCTTCCTCGGCTTCGTCAGGCCGAACGTGGGCGCGATCCCGCCAATGTCGGAGCTGCAGGTGCTGTGGTGGATCGAGAAGCTGCGCGGCCGCATCGCCGCAGGGCACGCCCCTCCCTCGTACGGCTTGCTCGGCAAGAAGCTGGTGTATGGGGTCGACTACGGCAACTACATGCACCAGCTGGCCGCGGAGTTCGGCGCGGTGCCTTCGCTCTGGTCCCTCGCCCGCCGCCCTCGCGTGCTCGTCGCCTACTGCCTCGGCCAGGCCTACGTCTCATTCTTCCGGCTGCAGGGGCCGTTCGCGTCGCAGGAGGCGTGGGAGGTCGCCGCGACCGAGCTGTACGCCCCCGTGCTGCGACGCGGCATCGCCACCAACCTGGTCTTCCTCGCGGTGATGCTCGTCTTCGGTAGCATGAGCGCGGCTCTCTGCGCGGCGGAGGCGGTCCTCGCACTGCCTCGCGCCGCAGTGAGACTGGCGGCGGCGGTGCCGCGCCGCCTGCTCGCTGCCCGGCGGCATCGCGATTAGTGTGCGGCGCGATATATAAGCGCTGGGCGAATCGAATGGCGTGGCTAGTGCCATTTCACTCTGACACGCTAATCTCTTGAAAACGTCTCCAACGGAGCTCCGTGTTGCTTCCAGCGCCCTCCCCCGCGCTCCCTGCGGCCATGGCCGATGCTCCTAGAAAGAGAGGTCATCTGGCTACCGCGAGAGCGACCCAACTCGTCGACATCGTCCGATGATGGTGCCGCAAAGTCAGCCTTCGGAGGCTATCGTGGGGTCGAGCCGGCAGTAGCCGTGACATGTGGTTCCACCACCCCTCGTAGGCTTTGCCTCTGACCGCCACCGTTCCCAGGCTGCCTAATTGGATGGAAAGGAAGGCTCGGCGAGCGTATAGAAGCGTGCTCGACCTCGTCGTGGCAACGTGTACGGCAGCGCTGGTAGGCGCGATGAGCGTCGTGCCACCTTACCCGAGACGGGTCGCAGGCGTCGTACCGAGCGCGTCGAGACCGTGTCCTGATGTGATCTGCACGGGTGAGTCACGTCGGCGTCAAAGGAGCGACGTGCGACCTGTCAGAGCTTGATCTCCAATCTCAGCGGCGTCGAGTCGTCTCCGGCGGCGACAATTTTGTCCCTCCCCAGGACGCACAGAATCAGCTGCGACCCCGCCGAGTGGACGGGGGGACTCCGCGCCACCTGCCGGGTGCCCCCGTCCACTTGGCGGGGTCGCAGCTGCCTCTGGAAGGCACCGAGAGGGACAAAATGGCGCAAATGGTCAAATCAAGGTTTTGTAACGCGAGCTGTGCCACAGTGAAATGGCACTAGCCCGTGTGCTTTACATATAATAAACTATAATAAAAGGACTACATTATTTGTGTGCGCGCGCGCCCACGCACACAGGCGTAGGGCGCGCCGCCCGTCATTCCAGCTCCAGGACTTGCCTTGAGTCCATGACTTTCGCCCTACTTGAGTCGCGCCTTGACGGTCCTCGAGACGCCCGCCCCTTGCTGAGCCGCTCTTCCGTCGCCCGGCGGACCTCGCCCATGTGCTCGGTCCACGGCCCCGGCTCGCCCTTGATCAGCTTGTGGACGTGGCCGACCATGCGCGCGCCGTAGAGAATCGCGAGCAGAAACTCGACCAGGTTCATCGACAGGTAGTAGCCGAGGGCACTGCGCCAGTAGTAGTGGCAAACGAGTAGCATCGGGATGAAGGCGATGCCTGCAGCCAGCGCGCACAGCGACATGTACCGGAAGTCGTGCGACGTGTTGAGGCCGACGCGGGCCGTCATAAAGATCATTCGCACCCCGACGACAGGCCCGAGAGCGACGAAAACGCCCGGGAGGTTGAAGGCGGACGTCTCGGTCCCACCGCCGGGGGTCATAAAGACATTGGCGTACGCGCCCGTGCAGTTGGCGCTCGATGCGTAGACGCATGCGGTCTTGCCGTAGCTCTGCGTAAACTCGTCTCGCCATATGATCGAGGCGATGACTGAGTAGACTGACATGATGAGCGAGAGGAGGAAGACGGCGAGGAACATCTGCAGATATGCGCGGTGCCGGCCGTTTGCGATCAGCTTCGAGCCCATCGTGCGGAACATGATGATGTAGCCTTGCACGTTTGCGGGACCCAGGACCCAATATGCAGCGGCTGGCGCGGAGAGTTTGTACGCCAGCTCGGCCGACTGGCTGGCGGCGAGGTATATGGTTGCGGTGCGTGAGACCTGAATGACCAGGTCGATGATCATCAGCTCGGAGCTCTCACGCAGCACCTTGAGCATGACCTCCCTCGGTGACGTCTCGCCCGGCGCGCCCGGGGGTGCTTTTCGCCACGGCAGGAGCAGCCGCAGGTCGTAACGCTTCTGGAGGTCGCGCGCGCACGCAATGAAGAGGAGCAGCGCGATGGCGTTGATCCAGTCGTCGGTGCCCATCGCCACGCCGAGCAGCGTCAGCGGCGAGAAGCCGTTTGTGCTCGTCGCCGGCTTGCCAACGAACCAGATTACGAGCGGCAAGCCGCCGCTGAGGATCGAGGGCATCAGGTACGTGATCAGGTAGCCCGAGCCCAGCATGAAGCCGTCGACGCCCTTTCGCATGAACCCGCCGATCCAGACGGCGGTGGCGAGCAGCCAGTACGAGCGCGCTGCGGCGAGCAGCGTCGCGGGCTCCGGCACGAGAGAGCAGCCCTCCTCGAGCAGCTGCTGGTTGGAGGAGGAGGAGGGGTCGAGGAGGACCGCGGCCGAGGGCGAGAGCGCGATGGCCATCATGCAGAGGAAGGCGAGCAGGCCGGTGGCGATGCCGCCGACGATGGAGATGTGCAGAAGCAGGTTGAGCTCCGCGTTGCGGCCGGCGGCGATGGCGTACGAGACGCGCACCACCATCCCGTCCTCGAGGAAGGCAAAGATCTCGCGCACGGGCGCGATAAATGAGGAGATTGCGAGCTCGGCGGAGCGCTCGGTCGGGTCGAGCGTCGCCTGGATCTCTGGCGCCATGATTGAGCCCTGCATGATGCCCGCCGAGAGGCTGAGCATAAAGACGATGAATAGGACGAGCATTCCGAGGCCGTCGTACTGTCGGAACATATGCTCCATAGGGTCGTCAACCTCCCTCTCCGTGACACTCGTGCCCGCGCTCGCGCCGGCAGATAGACCTTCCCTGAGCGTGATCGGCAGGCTGCCGTCCGTGAGCGCCGATGCCCTCGCCGTCTCCCCGAGGCCGAGCGCCTTGACAGTGTAGGCGTGGGCGTGGCCCGGTATCAGGAGCTTGCACCCAGGGCCAAGATCCGGAAGGTACCAGTCAACGAAGAGCACGTCGTCCTTGGCGTGCGCTTCGCGGGCCAAGGCCATGGCCGACCTGGCCTCCTCCTTGCCGCGCAACCAAGAGCCGACGACCTGCTTCAAGGTTTCGTAGCCAACCACGCCGATGACGAGCGGGACCCAGAAGGGCGGCTGCGACGAGTTGGGCTTGCAGCACTCGTCGGACGTCTCGCCGCGCATGTTGCTGACACAGAGCTCGGTGCTGAAGACGCACACCGGTGCAGAGTAGCCGGGGACATCCGTGTAGACGCCATGGGTCACCAGCGAGCCGTTTGGCAGAAAGTACCTGTATGGGAGGCTGTCGTCGTACTCGCAGGTGTCCATAGGAATAGGACGAGCCTGTGCGAGCCGTGCGAGCCGAGCGAGCCGGGAGCCGCCGCTCGACGGACCGCCTTGCGTGCGCCGTTTTTTTTTTCTAAGATTCCTACTCACGGGTGGGTCCTGCCTGGCTCCATTTTATTTATTTCCCGACCCTGTGCCTTGAGCCGTCCTCCCTCGCCCTCCCTTGCAAGCCTCCTGCAAAGAGGTGTAGCTGTGTCTGTCTTTCTGTTGAGTGTTGTTGTGAGGGGGGGAAGACGAAAAGTAGTGCTCCCTGTATGTGTCACCTCTATTGCCTCACCTCTTCACGCGACCTGCGCGCCTCGACCTCTCACTACCTCCCCGCCCAAGCTCCCGCCCTGCCCGTAGTCGAATGGGCGCCACGAGGGCCCGGGTAGCCGAGTGTCGCCCAAGAGCGGCGGCAACCCATCCATTCCCCTCGCAGCGGGGAAACCGGGCCAGCCCCGCGCTGGCGATGTTGCTGCGCCCTCGAGCCCTAGCGCACGGAGCACCGCCTCGTCCCACGCGCCGGTCTTGCGGTCCTGGAAGGCACGGGGCGGGCCGTGAAGACCATCATCACGCAACGCAAGTCGCAATACGCACGCGCACCCAGACGGCAAAGTCGCCCGAATCGTCCCACACCGTCGCGGCAAAACCGTGCCGCGCGACCGCAGCGGCAGACGCGGCGTACCACGCGAGGCGGCCGCTCGCGTTGCTCTGCCGGCGCGTGCATCCAAACTCGCCGAGCAGTATGGAGACGTTGCGCCGCTCCGCCCACGCGTGAAGCTGCGTTGCCCAATCTTCTACGGCGCCGACGGGCCACGAGTGCACGCGCGGCGGCCTACCCCCGTCGCCGCCACAAAAGTCGAACGGATTGTAGGAGTGAACCTCGAGAGACAGGCAGGGCGACAGGGTTAGGGGGCCGGACCCGATGCGAGGCGCTCCTGTGGTTATCGACAGGTGCCTCGAGTGCCACGTGCGGGTCCGACGGCGCCGGCTCGGGCAACAGGTCGATGGCGTCGGGGTTGGTCACGATCCAGTGCGGGTTCATCCACCGCAGCCCACCCAGAAAGACGGTACGCGTCGGGCTGGTCTCGCGGATGGCCTACTCGTACGCGCAGCAAAGTGTCGCAGAGGTCCTACGGGAATCCGGGAAACCCTACTCGGTAGAACCGCGAGCACTGCGGCATTCATCCGGTTGAGCCAGCGGGTCGTCATGTTTAAGTGGGGCTCGTTGTACACCTCAAAGGCGAGCAGGTTGTCGGGGACGTGGGCGAAGCGTTCGCCGACGGTACGCCAGATGGCGACGAGACGGTCCAGCGCCCTCGTAAATGCCGCGTCATCAGCCGCGCCATCGAGCCAATCATCGTGGTGCGCGTTGATTACAGTCCGAAGCTTGCGAGAGATTGACCAGCCAGCGACCTCAAATACACGCGCCAGGAATGGATTGTGTGCGGTGATGTAAGGAGGGGTTGTCGACGTGTGCTGAGACCAGCGACACGGAACGCGCACCGACCGGAAGCCGGCCGCAGCATAAGAGTCAAAGTATCGCTCTTCTGCAGGCGCCGCCCACTGGCCCTCCTTCGGCGCATCGAGCACGTTGCCGAGGTTTATTCCCATCCCCATGGACGCAACAAATTGCGCGGGAGATGGGGCGGCGATTGGCGCCATGGTCGATGGTTTCAAGCGTGACTCAAGTTTGAGTGTTCTCACGTTCATTTCAGTGTACGTACGTAGTGTATGTAGCTCTTACGTATGTATGTAGGAAGGCGAAGAACAGTCAGGCTCGGACTGGACACCAACGCGGTATGGGTGGACGCTGGACAGATGATGACGACACGCACGAGCGACACACAGACACAAACAAGCTCACAAGACACCACAGCCAGCGGGCTGCCACACACACCCTGAGTGGGCGTACACATCACTCAAGGCCACGTCCCCCCCCTGTCGCCCCCCCCAGCACTCCAAGGTGCCAAGAGACAAACAACAGCACAACAACACAGACAGGCGACAGGGGCGAACATTCCCGGAGGAGGACTGCTGGTTTTCGCCCGTACCTAGGTACGTGGCGGACCGACCCCACCCCTCTTTTGTTAAGTGTGTATGGACCTTTGTTTTTCTTTTAGAGATCCGCCCTATCATGTGTGCTCGACCTGGTTGAGCAAGGCCTGCGGCGGGTGAGGTTGTGAAAAAAAGAAAGAAAACAGGCAACCCAAGGGAGGGATGGGAGGACGGCACGCCGCCACCACACAGGGATTTTAAGAAGAGGGGTGTGGTGCGCTAGCCGTCGCCCACCCTTGGGCGTCTGCCTCTTCCTATCTCTCTTCGCAGTCCCTCTCCGATTCTCGCTGCAACTTTCATACCACCTCGCGGTCCTCCCACTCTCGTCGTTCTTTCTCTTGTCGCTTCTTCCTCTGTCGCTTCGCTCCCCTCTGCCTCGTTCTGCGACGACGCCGCTGCCTGCCGATCCCTTGCTCTCGCCTCTCGGCGTAACTCTGCCCTCCTCGCGGCCCAATCCTGGCCCCTCGAGTTTATCGAGCTCTCCTCGCGCAAGGATGACTCTTCTGACGCCCACTGCGATCATTTACCGCCAAGTGGTGAGTTTGTGGTGAACTCGGACTTGAGCAGGCGTATTTTTTTTTCGCCGAGTCCTCTCTCCTCCGATTTCACTCATTGCTGCTTTGCTCTCCGAGTGCCTGAGCAACCACCGTCCCAACACATGGCATCACAGTGGAGCTGGGACGCCGGAGGCGCCACCGAGATCAATTACCGCCCGTACTCGCCATCCGTTGCGGCGCTTCTCGAAGCGGCCTGGGTGCCGGCGCAAGCTGCGTTTTCCAACGAGATCGTGATCGACGTCCCAGGCGGCCGCGCCCGCGTGTATAAGCACCCTCGCAAGGGGCTGATCCAGGAGCGCTGCGACAACGCCAACGCTTGGCGAGCGGTGCGGCGCGTGACCGCCACTGCGGTGCAAAACATCGACTCGGTGGACCTCGACGACTCTGACGATGAGCCGCCGCCCATCCCCAACAACCTGCTGGCGCAGCTGGCGCGGGAGCGTGAGGCACGGGAGGGCGGCGGCACCGGCGGCGATGGCGGCGGCGATGGCGGCGGCGGCGGGCTCGGCGGAGGAGCCCCCTCGGACCCCGCCGCCGCCCTTGCTCTGATGCAAATCCGGCAGTCTAGCCCCGCCGACCGGCTCATTCTCGACATGATCCAGCGCGTCAAGCAGCGGGTCAAGCAGCACAAGGCCGACGCGACCGAGTCGAGCAGCAACGGATGGGTGGTCAAGGTGAAGCTGAGCCCCGCTGGCGCGACGACGCTCTCGGTGACGGCGCCAGACGGCACGCGGCTGCAGTCCGTCCTAGCGGTCGAGCGGCTCCTCGGCCTCAAGCCACCAGCGGCGCCAAAGGCGGCGGGGGGCGCAAAGCCGAGCCGTGCCGCCCCATCCAAGCCGTCGCCACTTCTCCGCCCGCTCAGCGAGAGCGACGAGCGCCTCCTCTCCGCCATCGACACCGTCAAGGAGCGCGCATCCGCTGCGTACATCAAAGGGGCCACGTCGGAAGCCACTGAGTCCACCGACGACTGGACCGTGCGGTACCGGGCGTGGACCGCCAGCGCTGGCAAGAAGGCCGGGGCAATGTCGACGCAACTGGTGGTCACCGCGCCGGACGGTGGAAAGTTCTCTTCAAAGCTCGGGGTCGAGCGCTTCCTCGGCCTCAAGCCTCCGTCGACATCGCCACGAGCCACGGCGGACGGCAAGAAGAACAAGAAGCGAAAGGCGTCGGCGGTGGAGTGGCTCTCATCGTCCGAGGACGAGCCCGAGGGCGAGGACGAGCCCGACGACGCCGAGGACCCGGACGGCCGCTCAGGAGTTCCGGAAACCACCGACTTCCTTGTCGAGGAAATCGATCTCGATTGAGTCTGTCTGGAGACTCTCCTCGGAATCGGCGCCCGCGAAGTAAGTCCTGACAAGGACACATGGCGCGCCCGACGAGGACTCTTCGCATGCCCTCATCGCGCCGGCTCACTCTATCGTGCCGCGCTGTGGGTACGAGTCAGTGTGACCCCATGAGTCGTGGGTGCGCCCAGCCGAAGCCGCCATTCCGCTGCGAGAGGTGCATCGCCTCCTCGCACCGCCGCTCCGTCGGGCCGGCGGGGTTGGCGTCGTGCTGCACGTCGCGGATCTCGGAGGGGCTGGTGGCGGTGAGCGTGCGGAAGAGCTGCGCTTGCGTCTCGCCCGCGTACTCGAGCGGCTCACGTGTGACCGAGGGCTCGCAGCCACGGGCGACGTGGTTGAGCGCGTTCGACGCCTTGAGGGTGAAGCGTCCGAGGAGCTCGGCCGTCTGCCGCCCGAGCGCCGGCGTGAGCTTCTCGAGCACCCGCAGCTTGATCTCGTGCGCCCGCCTTGTCCATGGCGATGTCGGTGCGCGCTGCCGCTTCGAAGCCCACGCCGACGCCGTTGACTCGGAGCGCGTCGCGCAACACCGTCGGCCGCTTGCGCTTTCCCTCGTGCATCTGCGACGGGAAGAGCTTGATGAAGCGCGCCACGTCAAGCTCCGTGTCCTGCCACTTCCGCGACTGCAGGATCTTGAACTTGCGCGCGTTCGCGGATTTTTTTCCGCCTTGTCATCTCTCCTCCGATTTCACTCATTGCTGCTTTGCTCTCCGAGTGCCTGAGCAACCACCGTCCCAACACATGGCATCACAGTGGAGCTGGGACGCCGGAGGCGCCACCGAGATCAATTACCGCCCGTACTCGCCATCCGTTACGGCGCTTCTCGAAGCGGCCTGGGTGCCGGCGCAAGCTGCGTTTTCCAACGAGATCGTGATCGACGTCCCAGGCGGCCGCGCCCGCGTGTATAAGCACCCTCGCAAGGGGCTGATCCAGGAGCGGTGCGACAACGCCAACGCTTGGCGAGCGGTGCGGCGCGTGACCGCCACTGCGGTGCAAAACATCGACTCGGTGGACCTCGACGACTCTGACGATGAGCCGCCGCCCATCCCCAACAACCTGCTGGCGCAGCTGGCGCGGGAGCGTGAGGCACGGGAGGGCGGCGGCACCGGCGGCGATGGCGGCGGCGATGGCGGCGGCGGCGGGCTCGGCGGAGGAGCCCCCTCGGACCCCGCCGCCGCCCTTGCTCTGATGCAAATCCGGCAGTCTAGCCCCGCCGATCGGCTCATCCTCGACATGATCCAGCGCGTCAAGCAGCGCGTCAAGCAGCACAAGGCCGACGCGACCGAGTCGAGCAGCAACGGATGGACGGTCAAGGTGAAGCTGAGCCCCGCTGGCGCGACGACGCTCTCGGTGACGGCGCCAGACGGCACGCGGCTGCAGTCCGTCCTAGCGGTCGAGCGGCAACTCGGCCTCAAGCCACCAGCGGCGCCAAAGGCGGCGGGGGGCGCAAAGCCGAGCCGTGCCGCCCCGTCCAAGCCACCTCCACTCCGCCCGCTCAGCGAGAGCGACGAGCGCCTCCTCTCCGCCATCGACACCGTCAAGGAGCGCGCATCCGCGGCGTACATCAAAGGGGCCACGTCGGAGGCCACTGAGTCCACCGACGACTGGACCGTGCGGTGCCGGGCGTGGACCGCCAGCGCCGGCAAGAAGGCCGGGGCAATGTCGACGCAACTGGTGGTCACCGCGCCGGACGGTGGAAAGTTCTCTTCAAAGCTCGGGGTCGAGCGCTTCCTCGGCCTCAAGCCTCCGTCGACGTCGCCACGAGCCACGGCGGACGGCAAGAAGAACAAGAAGCGAAAGGCGTCGGCGGTGGAGTGGCTCTCATCGTCCGAGGACGAGCCCGAGGGCGAGGACGAGCCCGACGACGCCGAGGACCCGGACGGCCGCTCAGGAGTTCCGGTCACCACCGACTTCCTTGTCGAGGAAATCGATCTCGATTGAGTCTGTCTGGAGACTCTCCTCGGAATCGGCGCTCGCGAAGTAAGTCCTGACAAGGACACATGGCGCGCCCGACGAGGACTCTTCGCATGCCCTCATCGCGCCGGCTCACTCTATCGTGCCGCGCTGTGCCTGTGGGTACGAGTCAGTGTGACCCCCCTCCCCGGGGCCGGCGGGGCCGCCCCCTCTTGAGGTGGCAGGGGAGAGATGGAGGGTGGCTGTTTGTCATGGTGTGCGCGCAAGTAGCCGCGCGCATCTCAGAGGATCTGAGGCATAGCAAAATCTCATAGTACCGATAAAAATAAAAGACCGGAGCGGCTCGCGCGTGTGCAGGCTGTAGCCTCGAGCGAGCACGACAGAGTCGACGGCACGGCCTCGAGCCCCGACCCGTCGAGCGTCGCTCGCTCGGGGCTCGCGCATGCTCGGGGTCGGAAAATCAATGCGAAATGGTCTTTATCGTTATGCGCAAAAGACAGTGGAATACGACTGTACGGGGTGGCATAGAGAAATAGGGTCAGGCAGCTCTCTAAATACGGCTTGATAAATAAAAGGGACATCGCGCTCGCGGCAAACAGGTAACCGCGCTCGCCCGCTGTCATGAAAGTTTGTGTTTTGGCGAGACGCTCAAAGGACTAGTTCCGTGTCATATATTGCTCATTCTGCTCTCGGGTTTTTACGTGTCATCAGGAGCGGCCGCACATTGCTCGGTTCCCCCCCTGCCCTTCTAAGCCCATGGCCGACCCCCCCCCCAGCAGCAGCGTTTTGTTGCGGGGGGCCCCCCCCCCCCCCCCCAGCAGCGCTCTGCTGCTGGGGGTCAGAACCCCCCCCCCCCTAGCAGCAGGGACGGGCTTAGAAGGGCAGGGGGGGTACCGAGCAATGTGCGGCCGCTCCAGCGCCCAACTTCAGATTTTTGGGGATGTCGAATGTGTGTCGTGTGTGGCTGTGACCTGTGTGTCCTGACTCCTGGGTGAGCGTGATCAGCCTGTGTGTGGGGCGCGGGGGCTGCCTCGAATGTCGAAAGGGGGGGGGATCCTCTTTTTCAAGGGACCTCTTTTTCTTTATGTCATATGTGGATTTGATGCAGAAACGAGAAATATGATCTCCGCTTGTGCACCCGTGAGGCGCTTATTTGGAAGTTTTGGCGCAGCTCTCTCACGACCACGAGTCTGAGTGATCGCCATCGCTCTCGACGTAACTCTTGCGGCCGCCGATTCGCCCGCCTCGGGAGGGGCGGCCTGACGCCGACGCCTTTGCGCGCGCCTTGCTCGGCAGCCTCTCAGGGGAGGAGTCCGCCTCGTAGTCGCCATCGCTGCTGTCTGCCGCCCTCCTGGCGTTCTTCTTCTTCTTCTTGGTGGCCTGCTTCCCTCCCTTGGCCGCCGCCCGCTTGGCCGCGGGCTTCGCGGCGCCCTTCACAGCCGCGGAACTCTGCTTGGGAGGCGCCTGCTTGGGCGGCGCCTGCTTGGGCGGCGCCTTCTTGACAGGCCTCTTGGCAGACTGCCTGGCGCTGGCCTGCTGCTTGGCGCCCGCCTGAGAGCAGAAGGTCTGGTGAATGGAAAACGATGTCGAAGGATTGGGAGGTCACGGCGCTCGCCTGCTTGTGTGCGCGCCCGCCCTCGTCGCTGCTGTCGCTGCCGCCGCCCTCCGCCTCGCTCTCGCCGCCGTCGCTGAAACTGCTCTCCTCGCTGTCGCTCTCCTCGCTGCCGCTGCTGCCGCCCGCCTCATAGCTCTCGTCCTCCTACTCCGCGCCACACAACTGTTCAAAGGCCGTCTAATCACAGCTGCCCCTCGTAGCGCGGGCCGCTCCTCCGAACTGCCCGCGCCGCGCCGCGCCTATTCACATCTTGCTTGTCTCTCCTCACGGGTCTTCTGTCCACGTCCTCGACTGGCCACGCCGCGCCTTCTTGGCCTCCGCCGCCGCCCTCCCCTTTGGCTGCGCCGCCGCAGGAGCCCGGCCCTTCGCCTTCTGCGGCGTCGGCCTCTGCCGCGCCGGCTGCGCCTGTTAGCTGAGATCAGCCGAGATCAGCCGAGATCAGCCGAGATCAGCCGATATTGGCCTCTGCCGCGCCGGCTGCGCCTCCTCCTCGCTGCTGTCGTCGTCGTGCACCACCACTCGCCTCTTCTTGGGTGCCGCCGCCGCCGCCTTCCGAGCCGCCGCCGCCGCCGGTGCCGGTGATGGCGCCGCCGCCGCCGCCTTGGGCGCCGCGGCCGACTTCGCTCGCGACGAAGACGGCAGCACCTGAGGTAAGGTAAGGCAAGGCACACTTCTCCACACGCACGAGGGCGGTGGGGCAAGCGCCAGGCATTCCCTCCTAACTCCACGTCCAACGACAGGAGCCGCACGGCATTCAAAGTGCAAGGCCCGGTGCGCGCAGGGGGGGTTGGTGGGTGGGTGGGTGGGTGGTGTGGGGGGCAGCACCTCCTCCGAGATGCCCTCGCTCTCGCTCTCCGCCTCGGAGCTGACCACCGCCGCCCTCCGCTTCTCGCGCCCGCCCCTCGCCGCCCTCGCCTTGGCGCCGCTCGAGCCGGCGCCTCCCTCGCCGCCCTCGCCTCCCTTGCCGCCTCCCTTGCCGCCCCCCTTGCCCTTCTTGGCGCGTGCGCTCTTGCCCCCGCCCTGGCAGACCCGCAGGTGCGCCTCGTGGCCCGAGGTGACCTGCAGCCCGCAGCGAGGGCAATCGTCCGACACGAGGAAGGCGCCTACGCACGCCCCAGCAATGCCGCAACGTCACCCCGCGCCGTGACCCGCCTCTGCGCTCACGGGGTGATGAGGATGCCGAGCTCCGGATTGTAGTCGCTCTCGTCGTCGCGCTGCCGCGCCACGCGCGCGCGTCGCGCGGCCGCCGCCTGGGTGGAAGGCGGCGGTGGCGGTGGGTGGTGGTGGCGATGGTGGGTGGTGGTGGCGGTGGTGGTGGTGGAGGTTATGTTGGTGATCTCAGTGGCGGCGGCGGCGGCGGCGGCGGCGGCGGCGTGGCAGCGGTATGAGCATGCGGGTCTGAGCCAGCTGGTCTGAGCTCACCGCGTCCCTCCGCTCGGCCGCCGCCGCCTCCTCCTTTGCCCTGGCCAGCAGCGCCTCGCGCGTCTGCCGGCTCATCGCGAACTGCCTCACGCGGAAGGCGCGGCCGCAGTCGGGCACGCCGCGCCGCTTGTCGTTGGGGCAGCGCAGCGCGGTGCGGAACTGGGCGGGCCGATACCTAGCGGGGTCGCGTGGACCACGTCCGGACGCGTGCAAGCGAGGGAGCGGCGGCCGCAGCGCGCGGTCGGCACTCGAATCCGCGCTCGCAGTAGGGGCAGTGGTGCTCCGCGGTCAGGCAGCCGAAGTCGAGCAGGCAGCGGAGGCAGTGCACCTGCGGCGGGGGTGAGGGAGGCGGTGCCGAGAGCGGCGGCGGCGCTGGCGGCGGCGGCGCTGGCGGCGAGGGAGGTGGCGGCGAGGGCAGCGGCGGCGAGGCGGCGGTGGCGAGGGAGGCAGTGGCGAGGGCGGCGTCGGCGTCGCGCCTGCAGCTTGCCTCGCATGAAGAGCGTGTACATGCCCTCCCTGCCCTCGGTGCGGAGGTGGTCGCCTGCGGGAGATGCCGGGGACGTGTCACTGTGCATGTGCATGTGCATGTGCATGTGCATGTGCATGTCCAGTGCGGGGTTGCTCGCCCCAGTCGGCGCGACAGCGAGGGCACTTGACGCCCGTGCGCTGCGCCTCTGCGCCGCCCTTCCCGCCGGTCGCCTCCTTGGACTTTGCCTTCGCCTTTGGCCGGCTGGGCTTGTGCTTGGGCGGCTTGGGCGTGGGCGGCTTGGGCTTGGGCGGGTTTCCAGCGGGACTGGCATCTGAGTCCTGCTCCTGCTCCTGCTCCTGCTGCTCCTGCGGCTCCTGCGGCTCCTCCGCCTCCGCCTCCTCCTCCTCCGCCTCCGCCGCCTCCTCCTCCTCCTCGCGCGAGTCGTCAGAGTCGTCGGCACGCACATCGGGCTTGCAGCAGAGCTCATATGCACGCACGAGCGCCTGGAACGCTTTGGTGGCCTCCGCGCAGCGAAGCTTGTCCGGATGGATGCGGGCGGCAATTCGCGTGTAGCACTTCCGCACCTCTTCGTCCTCGTGGTTGAGATACCCGTCGGACTCGACACGGATGGGTTCGCCGCCCTCTCTGCGACCTAGAGAGAGCAGCGCGTACCGATCCTTCGCCTCGAGGACGGCGGCGGCGAGAGCCTCGCCCGACAGCATCTTTGGCGACGCTGCTAGCAACCGGCAGGTCGGCCCTGGGGCGCGGGAGAGCGATTCAGGTTACCGCTACCGTTCACGTAAACGCACAACCCCGGGCCCCGAAATCACAGCCTTGTTATTGAGAAGAAAATACCTCCATCACACGCTGCGCCTTTACCGCTACCGCCAGAGGCCACCCGCTGTTTACCGCTACCGGCTCGCGCGGTACCGCTAGACCCCACTCAGTCACTTATGGGTGCAGCAGGCCTAGTCAGCATTTGCTCACGCACCGCGGACGGTAGGGTCCAGCAGCGCGCTGACGGCGAGAGGCCGATGCGCTCGCCGGCCGTCCGTAACCGTCGGGGCTACTAGGAACGGACAGCCAGCCGAGGGCTGCTGGCCGTCCCCCTTACCGCTACCTCGGGCGGATTACCGCTACCGCTTCACACCGGCGGGTCCCCTCCCGCTACCACCTACCGCGCCCCCGAGGCAGGGCGACTTCAGAAGAGGATGGATCGAGAGTAAAAGAATTTAAAAAACATTCTTGCGTTTGTTGAGCGCCTCGCGCACGCGTACTCCGCAGCACTGCCTCCGATGCGCGCCCACCGCTTCCGTCTCGTCACCTCGGCCGCGCTGGCTGCCTCGCTCGTCCGCTCGATCGCCGCACCGGGCGTCGCCCGGTGTCCACGCCTCGCCTCCGCCACGCTCCGGCCGCGGCACAGAGCGCTGTCCGCGCTCGCAAAGGGCGGTGGCGGCGGCGGCGACGACGAGGCTGGCGGGGCGGCGGGCTGGGAGCCGCCGCCGGGCTTCGCCGTCTGGTCGGACGAGGAGGACCCGCGCGCGCTGGAGGCGGAGGCGGCGCGGCGCGGCCAGCCAGGCGCCGGCTTTGAGATGCTTGGCAGCTACGGAGGCGGGCCGGCGGGCCGGCCTGCAGGGAGCGCACCGCTGCAAGCGGCGATCGAGATGCCGCGCGGCTTCTGTTGCGGCTGCGGCGTCCGCTTCCAGGCGAACGACGAGGCCGCGCCAGGCTATCTGCCGGCGTCCGTGCTGCAGCAGAGGCTTGCGCCGTCCTCCGAGGAGGAGCAGGGCGGTGTCGGGGGCGGCGGCGGGGCGGAGGCGGAGGCGGGGGCAGCGCGGCCTCCGAGCCGCCCCAGGAGGGAGGCGGTGTGCCAGCGCTGCCACTCTTTGCGCTACCAGAACCGGCTGCCGTCGGATGGCTTGCGTGTGGGCGGCGGCGTGCAGGTCCTCCCAGCCGCCTCTCTCTCTCTCTCTCTCTCTCTCTCTCTCTCTCTCTTCTCTCTTCCCTTCCCTCCTGCTCTCTCCTCCACCGCCGCCCCTCTCCTCTCTCTCCCTCTCTCCTCCTCCTCCAAGCCAACTCTCTCCTCCCTTCCGCCTCCCTCCTCCACCGCCGCCTCCCCCCGCTGCAGGGCGCCGACGACCCGGATGCAGCGTCACACGCGGAGCTGCGGCCGGCGCACTTCCGCGCGCTGATCCGATCGCTGCGGTCGAAGCAGGTGCCAACCCAGCGCACACGTCGCTACACACGCAGTCCACACCCTGCCGCCCTCGCCGCCACACCGCCGCACAGTGCGGGTGGTCGTCTGCCTCGTCAACTCAGTGAAGCTGACCCCCAGCTCCCGCTCCAGTGCGTCGTCGTCTGCCTGGTCGACCTCTTCGACTTCCACGGCTCGCTCGTGCCAGAGCTGCCCTCGATCGTGGGCGAGGACTCCCCCCTCATGCTCGTGGCAAACAAGGCCGGGATCCAGCCGAGATCTAGCCGAGATCTAGCCGAGATCTAGCCGAGATCTAGCCGAGATCTAGCCGAGATCTAGCCGAGATCTAGCCGAGAGGTGGCCGAGGCATAGGTGAGATCAGGCGAGAGGTGCCCCCCCCCCTCCTGCTCGTGGCGGACAAGGTCAACCCTCAGCCTAAGTGTGCCCCTCCCCCCCCACAGGTCGACCTCCTACCCAAGGGCATCCACCAGCCAGCGGTCGAGCGGTGGGTGCGCGCCGAGTGCCGCCGCGCCTCGCTGCCGCACCTCCACTCCCTCGACCTCGTCTCGGCGAGGACGGGCGCGGGCATGCCGCAGGTGGCGCCTCTCTCTTCCGCCTCCCCTCCCTGCCGGCTCTCTGCCGCTGCCGCCTCGCTCCCCGCTCCCTCCGCCCGCCCCTCCCTGCTGCCTCTCGCCTCCTCGCCGCCTTGCGCGCCGCCGCCTTGACGACACGTCCACTGACACGTCCACTGACACGTCCCCTGACACGTCCCCTACATGTCCACTGACGTCCACTGACACGTCCACTGACACGTCCACTGACACGTCCCCTGACACGTCCACTGACACGTCCACTGACACGTCCACTGACACGTCCACTGACACGTCCACTGACACGTCCCGCGCAGCTGCTCGCCCGCCTCGAGAAGCTGATGACGAGCCGGCGGCTCGACGCGTACGTCCTCGGCGCCGCGAACGCGGGCAAGTCATGCCTCCTCAACCTCGAGCTCTTAGTTGGCATATCATTAATCAACTGGCTAATGAACAGGCAAGTCGTCCCTCCTCAACCACATCCTCGCCGCCTCGCCAACGCAGCGCATCGACGGGTCAGGACGTGCGCTGATGCCGCACGATTGCCCCCCCGCCCCCCCTCTCCCCCTCCCTCTCCCCCCCCTCCCCTCCCTCGCTCCCCCCTCCCGCACGCCTCTTTGTTCCCTGGGCCCGCTGCTCTGTCCCGAGGGCTCGACAGCTGAAGCCTTCCCCTGCTCCAGGTGCCGGCAAGCGCGGCGAGGTGGCGGCCCCGCAGCTCACGACCTCGCACCTGCCCGGGACCACGCTCGGCTTCGTCAAGACGGCGCAGCTCGGAGGGCGGCACGCGCTGTACGACACGCCCGGCCTCGTCCTGCCCAACCAGCTCACCACGCGCCTCACGGCGGACGAGCTCGCCGCCGTCGTGCCGAAGCGGCGCGGCCAGCCCGTCTCGCTTCGGCTCGAGGAGGGCCGCTCCCTCCTCCTCGGAGGACTCGCGAGGCTCGACCTCGTCGCCGGCCGCCCCTTCCTCTTCACCGCCTATCTGAGCGACGCGGTCACCCTGCACCCGACCGCCACCGCAAAGGCCGCCGAGGTGCGGCGCACCACACCGCTCACCCTCCGCACGCGCACACCGCTCACCCACGTGCTCCGCGGCCTGCGCCTCCAATGCTCCGGTCGTCGGGCGTGGAGATGGCAGTTTGCCCGGGCCCCGCGTGAGGAGGGGGTGCTGGAGGAGGTGCTCCAGGCATGCGGAGGCGCTCACCGGGCCTCACCGGGCCTCACCAGGTGCGGCGCAAGCACGCGGGCGGCGTCCTCACGCCGCCCGCCTCTCTCGAACGCCTCGAGGCGCTCGGCGAGCTCGAGGCGCAGCACGAGCTCCGCGTCGAGAGCCTATCTCTAAGGAACCTTCTCTGAGCCTTCCCGGAGTCCGTCCCTACAGGAGCACGAGCTCCGCGTCGAGGGGCGCGGCTGGGGCGAGGCGGCGGTCGACGTCGTCTTCCCCGGCCTGGGCTGGATCGCTGTCACCGGCTCGAGCGGCTAGATGCGTACAACAGACCCACATCTCCCCATATCTCCCCATATCTCGAGCGGCTAGATGCGGAGAACACACGCGCCGTCACGGACGGGGAGCTCGGAGAGCCATATCTCCCCATATCTCCCCATATCTCCCCTAGTAGCTCGGAGAGCCGCGCAGCTGGCCGCATTCCATCGCACTCACGCCCCATTCCACTGTGCTCGCGGTGTCTTCACGCGATGCTCTAAGTGCACTGCACGAGGCCTGGTTCGCACCCTCTCAGCTCCCCGGACCCATACGCCAGGCGCGGGCGAGTGCTCGGTCCGCGTCGCGCTGCCGCGAGGTGTGCGGCCAATCACCCGCGAACCGCTGCTGCCCGAGGAGAGCTGGCGCAAGACGGCGGCCAAGTTCACCGGCGCCAAGCTCGTCAATGCGCGCGGGCAGACACGGCGCACCGGCGGTGGGTCGAGGCGCAGCGCGAGGCGGGGGCGATAGGCGGTGGGGGAGGGGGACTGGGCGGGCTGTGCGTCGGGGCCGCGCGATAATTTTCTTTTCGCTCGAGCACGGAGCACGTGGAGCACGGGCTCCTGGGGAGCACACTACTTAGCACACTCTTGGTACTTGGAGTGCAGTTGGAAGCCTTAAATACATCCAGGCCCGCGGGCGGAGTCGGTACGGTAACGTAAAGAACCCGCCGCCGCCCCCCCGCGCCCGCGCCCCCCCCCCGCAGACGCCTCCACCCTCCAGCCCAGCGCGGGCCCCCGGCGGCTGAGATCGGGATCAGGCTACGAGCAAAAAGGCCCTGACCGTGGGGGGAGGGGGGTGCGCGTTCGCAGGGAGGGGGGGGGGGGGGCGTAATAAACAAACCGGCCGTTTGGGCCGGGGTTTCCCTAGCGGCGGGGCGCCCCCTCTAAAAATGAAGAACTAACGTACACTCACGCCCGACGAGCTGGTAAATTTCTTTCGCGCACGCGGCCGGGAACAAAAAGGGCTGCTTCGTGCCGCCTCGGCTTCCACCCGCTTCAAGTGCGAGTTGACATACGCGCGAGCCTCACCCATGAGGTGGCCCTTCTCCGTTGGCTTGTGCCAGAGCACAATCTGGTCCCACCACCGGGGCACGGCAGTATCGACGTCAGACGTGTAGGTATTGTAAGCTGCCGGGAGCTCAAAGAACTCGCTCGCCTGGTGAAACACATTGACCAGTCGCTGCTCGCCACGGTCACCGCCGCCCTCGACGATCGAGTACGCGTCTAACCGACGCGCGAGCGTCTCCGGTGTCTCCCTCAGGAGCATCACGCCCGAGTTGATCCCTTCTCTCGGCTTGACGACGTATGCCGGGGGCCTGGCGTGACGTAGTTCATCCAGCGGCCGGAAAACGACCACGTCATTGTCGAGGAAGAGCAGCGGCTTCTCCAGCTGGGCGGAGAGGTGCAAGATCCAGACCTTCTCGAAACTCGCACGGTGAAAAGGCGACGACCAGGAGGGGCGCAGGAATGCGGAGGAGGCGGTGCGATGCACGACCACTTTCGGATCGCAGGCGTGCGCATCCTCCCACTCTGCTACCCTCTCGCCGCCGAGGACGACATGGACGAGAGAGGCGTAGCCAGAGAGGCGAAGGCTCGCAATGGACCGTAGCATGCGGCGGGTTTGCAACGCGTACCACTTTGCGCCGGAACGAACGTTGGAGCTGTTGAAGTAGTTGATGTAGCCGACCTCGAAGTGCATGGTGGACCCGGCTACCTTCGTCGTGGCGCGCGGCTGCAGCGTGCTGAAGCGCTCGTCGCATTGGCAGCGCAACCCAAATGGCCGTCGCTGGGAGGTGGAGTCGCAGCAGAGTCGAGCGGCAGGCCTCACCTTGCACGTGCCTGAGGAGTCGCTCATATTACCGATGCTGCCGACACCACCCTGGCCACGGTGATGATTGCGGGTTGTGTCTTTGTCCGAGTAGTTGAACACACTGCGCATCATGCGATTGTCGGGGAGCGAAGCCAGCGAGAGCTTCGAAAGCATCTGCGCCGCCCAGACTGCGACCTTCGATCCGACTGATTGTTTGTCGGTTGCAGGATGTCCAGCACAGCGATGAATCCCTCTCGGACTGAACAGGAATCTGTTATGCTGCCTTTGGGAGCAGCCGATGACCGTGCTGCCTGACACACGGAAAGTCCCACGGCAGCCGCCAGTGACCCACACTTGCGGCCCCGATAAAGCGGCGTTAGCCACGCAGCCAAAAGTGCTTCCTACCACGCATTCTGCCGTGCTGACCTGCTTGACCAGCTCGCACATTTTCGAGAGCAGCTCTGGGGCCAATCATTGTACGGCCGGGCCGAGTTGTACGTACTTTTAGCTTACGCTCCAGGTCGTCGACAATCGCGACTACTACAAGGGAGAGCGGCGGCACGAGCTCGTCTGGCTGCGCCAATCCGAGTGCGAGCCATTGCGCTCTGGCGATGAGGGCGTCTCATGCGGCATGAAGCACCCGCACCTCTTCCCGTGCTCCCGCGCGAGCCCTGCCTTTGTCGGGATGGCGGGGTGCAATCGGCGTGAGTAGAGCCACGAGATCCGCGCGCAGGGCATCCCCGGAACGCCCGGCACCAGACAGGGCGTTCTGGCTTGGGAAAGACTGGGCACGAAAGGAACGAGATGTCCGCAAAACCCTTTTGTTTGTATACCCTTGCTTGTACGTGTGCGCTGTGCGTCTCTGCAGGGCTGCTTCCCTGAACGCGCTGAAGCCCTGGCCCCTGCCCAGCGCCCACGCACAGCGGAAGCGGTGTGGAGTGGAGTCGCAATGCGTTTCGCTGTGCGGACCACGACGACTGACACCCAGCCGGGCGGGTTTCGAAATATATGTTAAAATGGTATTCCTGTATCGCTATCATGACCTGTTTTACATTTATTCGCGGCCCGTCTGCCACGGCTGAACCGGAGTGCTGCCCATGCCCAGCGAGTCTGCGAACTGCTGCGACCGGCGCGTCTCCCCCTCAAAGGCCGCGGCGTAGGCCTCGTACTCGCTCTCCGCGAAGATGCACATCTCGAGCCGCGACACGGAGACCGTGTGCTGCGCCTGGTCGGGCAGGCACGAGGCACGGCAATGCGAGACGTCTCCACGCGCACAAGGTGGGCCAGGCGATCTCCCCACCCAAGTTAGGCAGGAGCTTGGCAGGGCATTAGTGCAAGGCCCGGTGCGCGTGGGTGAGCACACACCGGGTCAGGCAAGGCGTCAAAGGCTCCCCGCAGCGCGGCGCATCTGAGAGAGAAAGAAAGAGGCGGAGGAGGGGCTGGTGACGGTAGCGGATGCCGATTGGCGGTGAGAGAGGGTGTGGAAGCGGCGACGGCGGCGGGGGTGACGGCGAGGGTGACGGCGGTGGTGGTGGTGACGGAGGCGGCGGCGGCGACGGCGGCGACGCTGCGGGGGGTACTGAGGAGGCGCTCTATTAGGATGGCTGGGTACACGTGTCGCGTCAAGGCAGCGTCTCGGAAATGTCTCTCACGCACGTCAGGTCGGGCAGTTCCGGCGCGAACGGCCCGGCAAAGAGACCGCCTGCACGGACATTTCGAGCGTGTGTGGGTGGGGATCGGTGCTGCAGCGGCAGCGGTGCACCAAGGCTGCAACACGCACCGCTGATGGGCAGCAGCCTCAGCCCACCCAGCCGCGCGCCGGCGAAGGTGCGGAGAACGGCGCCGTACGCCGCCGTTAGCTCGCCGAGCGCCTCCTCCCGCGAGCAGCCGCGGCCGTTGAAGTCCGGGCCGGCGACGTGGATGCAGCCGTGCAGCCCATAGTACTGCAGCGCTGCTTGCAGTGGCGCTGTGATCGCCTCGCGCACCGGCGTGGGGAAGCTCTCCTCGTCCGCGATTCCCAGCCAGCGGTAGATCTCGCCCGATGCGCCACTGGCGCCTCTCGGCCCGTTCCGGATGAAGGGGAGCCCAGCCGGGTCGACGATTGGAAAGCCGGGGACCGGAGCCTGCCCGACCTTCTTCACGGCACCGATCGCCGTGAGCCGCGTGCCGAGGACGCCGAAGGGTCGGATGGCGAGGCGCATGGACCGGCTCATCGTGTGGCCTTCGGAGAGCGAGAAGATCGTGTTGGTTGCTGGCGCGTCAAGGGATCCCCACTTTCTTCTTTCTTTTACGTGAAATACCTATCATCTCTACCCGCACAGAAAAACGGTATGACGGCCAGGAGCCTTCGCCAGGTCGTGTGAAGAGCACTGATGCCGCAGTGAGTGAGTGGTCCCGGGCCCTGCGGGGAACTAAGTCGGCGCAAGTTAGTCTGTGAGCTGGACGAGGGCTAGTGGTGCGCCGTGGCGGATCAAGTGGTGAAGTGCTCCCCCGGGAGTCGTGGTCGGAGGCCGGGACACTACGCGCACTAACTTAGTGTGCGGAAGTGAGTGCCTCCGGCCGGCCGCGAGGGGAGTGGTCCGGCGGGCCACTCGTAGTGCCCTTCGCCGGCGGACGGAGGCGGGCTCGGCTACTACGCGCACTAACTTAGTGTGCGGAAGTGAGTGCCTCCGGCCGGCCGGGGGGGAGTGGTCCAGCGGGCCGCTCGCAGTGCCCTTCGCCGGCGGACGGAGAGGTGGGCTCGGCTACCACGCGCACTAAGTTAGTGCGCGTAGTGAGTGGGCCGCCGGCGAGCGGGCTAGTGGGTGAGTGCCTCCTGCCACCCCGCGCACTAAGATAGTGCGCGTAGTGAGTGGGCCGCCGGCGAGCGGGCTAGTGGGTGAGTGCCTCCTGCCACCCCGCGCACTAAGATAGTGCGCGTAGTGGGTGGGCCGCCTTCTAGTGGTCGGCGAGGCCGTGGCCAGTGCCCCAGCCCTGCGGCGCCGCCTAGTGAGTGAGTGCTCACCGACCCTCCCCACACTAAGTCGGCATCGGTGCTTTTGTTTTTTAGTTGGCGAAGGCTCCTGTGACGGCTGGAGTGCTCTCTACTGCCGCGGCGCCCCTGTCGGTTCGGAGGGGCCCGGCGGCCGCGCGCTTGATGCCGACGTGGACCGGCTGCTCTCGCGGCGCCGAGGCGTGCCGCTTCGGTCACGTGTCGCGCGCTGCGAGGTGCCTTTTGGCTTGTGAGCGCTTGGCATAGACGCCAGGAAGCTTGTCTTCCATGTCTGCGGCCACGGCAGCGGGCTTGCGCGGCGCGCCGCTCGACGGCAGGCTGCTCCCCACCCTTTCAACAGCATCTTCTGCCTCGCTTCTCTCGCTGCAACCGCCTCCGGTGGCCGGCGCCGGCCGCCTCGCTTCGCCAGCGCTGCCTACGCCTACGACACACGCGCCGGCTCGCCGCCCGCGTCGCCTGCGGCGGGCCCGCGGGGCGCGCCGCTCGTCGGGAGCGTGCTCAGCAGGCTGTGCAGTGCAGCCTGACTCAATCAGAGCGCCGCTGATATGCGGCGTGGGGCCGCCGGCGGGGCTGCTGCCGCGCACGCTGCGCTGTGGGCTTCACCATCGTGTCCTCGCCGCGTCGCCGACGCCACTTGCCGCTCGCGGCTGCCCTGCCCTTCCCTGCCATCGCGCAAACACAGACACACACAAACAAACACACACATTATTAATGATCGAGTATTAATTATTAATTATTACTCATCGGGCGGCGGCGCGGCGCGGCGGCGGGCGGCGCGAGGCGGCGGCGCGGCGAGGCAGCGGGCGACGCAGGGCGGGGCGGCGCGGCGGTGGGTGGTATAATTACTTATTAATTAATTAATAATGAATTAATAATCATCGGGCGGCGGCGCGGCGCGGCGGCGGGCGGCGTGGAGCGGGGCGGCGAGACCATCTGCACTGACCTCGGCCTCTGGTCTTTGGAGCAGAGCAATGGTCGCGCCGCCCTCGACTCAAGGGGCTGCCGTCCACCCGTCGCTGCTCAGGCCGGGGGAGGGGGGGAGACCTTCTGTTCCTCGCGGAACGGGAGCAGGCCCCTCCTTGCCCGGTCTGCGATACAGGGCGGTGGTCGTGCCATCTTCGCTTCGTACTCGAGCCACCAAGCCGCAACCGTCGCCGGCGCGCGACACGTTCCCGTAGGCCGGACTGTCCTCGTCGAGAGTGTGTGCCGCCAAGGCGGGACACACTCAGGGACAGTGCCGACGGGACGCGGCTCGAAGGGCGTGGCACCGTGGCTCCGCAGCGCGGCTGGCACTCGTCGCAGAGGCCTCACCTTCGAAAAGTCGGGCATGGCTCCACCCGCAACTTTCTCGCTACCACGCGCGCACCGCCGAGCCTGCGGCGGGCGCGCTGCGGCCGCACGTCTAACCTCGTCATAGTGCCACGACGTGCGGCCTAGATTTAGTCCACGCACCTCTGCTCGCAAACACTCACCCATTGAATTGTCACTGCCCGTGAGTGCGAGATAGGGCTAGCAGTAGGCAGCTAGCCTCTGAGGAGGGCGTCCATAGACACCTCACTAGAGACCCCACACACAGTCTCGTCCGTGCCTCGCCGGCCGGCGAGATTGCTAGAGGAGGAGCAAGCTGCTCTAGCCTCACATGTCACTTCCTGTTTTGTCTGTTGTTTGTTGTGCCCTGTTTGTTCTCTTGGCACCTTGGAGTGCTGGGGGGGGGCGACAGGGAGGATGTCGACAGTCCACCCCGCCTGCTAAAGAAGCACAGCGATGAATGCGGCACCGGCGACGCACGGCAGGCTGGTCATGACGCAGTTGGATAGGGTGTTGGTGTGCCGTCAGAGTGACTCTCTGTGTGTCAGGGATAGTCAGGGCCGTCCATCAGAGCTCCACTAAAGCTCGGAGACACCCCATTTTAGCGCGGCTCGACCTCTTTGAGTCACTGCCTTGCCGGCGGTTTGGCTGTAAAAAAAGAAAGAAAGAAAACACACAACCCAAGGGAGGGATGGGAGGACGGCACGCCGCCACCACACAGGGATTTTAAGGAGAGGTGTGTGGTGCGCTATCCGTCGCCCACCCTAGGTTTGGCTGTAGAGCCTCTACCTCCTATCCAAAAAGTTATTTAGTACGACCCCGGTTTCGGATATCGGCGAACGATCGGAAGGGTGCCGCCCGCACACAAATGGAGTCCTCGATGTGTGCACCTCAGTCCCAGAAGCTTGGAGCTTCAGGCCGCGACCACGTGGCTAGGTGGACACTAAAGTGCCATTTTGGCGCCAAATCTTGGCGCGAAATGACACGTGTCTTGGCGGGAGTGTGGTGTGGCTGCGCTGCTCGCCAGCGCTGCTGTTGAGCGCCAGCTGCTGCTCCCTTCAGCCAGACGGCCGGACCTGCGCAGCACGACCGCTGGCCTTCCTCCTGCACCACAGGAGCGCGCCAAGGCGCGCGTCTGGGCAAGCAGTGCGTCTCATCGCGATGCGAGAGTCGACGCTGTGACGCCGCCGCTCGCCGGCTAGAATGACAGTGGCAGCATTCGAGTACGCGTCGAGCTGTGCGTACCAGCACTTGTATGCGAGCTCATTGTGTCCCTGAGCTGCTGTGGGGTGCGTGGGCTCAGCTGCGGAGCACGTACTGGGCGGCGGTAGGGGGGTGGTACTAAATAACTTTTTGGATAGGAGGTAAATAAATAAAACGGTCAAACTCTGAGACGAGATGGGATTTAGGGACATGTGTCCCCGCCCTGCACGATCTTGGTGTGAGGGATCTTCAATCCGTGTCCCCTCACCCCTCGTCACAACCCGGCACGGAAGAGCGGCAAGAGTTGGGGCTGCGGCTACGGCTGCGGCTACGAGAGGGGCCGGGGTCGCGGGAGAGCCGCTGCGCCGCGTGGACGCGCCTACACCGCTCTTGCTCCGCTCGCCACCTCTCGCAAAGGTCCAAAGCCATAGCCACCACCTCCTCCGGCAAGTCCTTTCGCCGTATCTCGCCGTCCCTCCACGCCTGGAAGAGCTCGTCGTCATAGCCGTATTGCATCACAGCCTGCTGAACTGCGTCGTCGTGGGTGCGACGCTCATCTTTGCCCTCCCCCTGCTCGTATCTTCACTTCTCCCATTAACGCGTGTGCGAGGGTGCCGCCGCCCCCATGCCGCTTGCGGCTGCTCCCCTCGTCTGCGGCGGCACCCCTCACCCTATCGGCGGCATGGTTACCGCCGCTGTTTACATTGCCTGCTTGTCGCCGGCCGGTCTTCTGCATGTCCTTTACTCTCCAGGGTGGTTAGTACTGCGCCAATGCCCTGTGACATGCTCCCTGAGTGTTGCTACTCTGCGCAGCGCGTTTCGCGTGATGCTGTATGTCGTTGCCCGGTGTGGGGTCTGCGGACGTCGCGCATGATTGTCGCGCCGTGCTCCTCTGTTTCGCACGCGCGTGCTGTCCCAGTCAGTCGGCTGTCTTTGCTCTGGCTGTCCCGCTCTTCTGTCTTCTGTAGAGCCGGGGGCGCATCTCGGTCGGTAGTGCGATGCGTTAGAGGGTGTGTGTTAGTGGCCTGTGCCCGCCTTGATTAGGGCAGCGCAGCGCTCCTTTGAAATCTTGTTACTTCATCTCCGCATTACACACATAACGGTGTGAGACAGTACTCCGCTCTGAGGACCTCTGTCCTCTGTGTGCAATCTCTAGAGAAAATAATAAGATCGAAGGAAGGCAATGCGGGTCAACCCGGGAAGTGTGCGTGCTTTTCACGAGCCGATGTGGCGAAATTCAATCTCCGATTTCGCTTTCCTCACGGACGGGATGACGCAATTAAGAGATTGCCTCTATTACTGACAAAACTCGTCGCCGACTTCGCGGGCCGACGGCTGGGTTGCTCTGCATGGCGACGATGCAAAGAGGCTCGAACGGGGCTGTCGGCACAGCGAAGCCCCCCCCAAAGCCCCCATCCGTGCCGCTGTCCGCTGCCAAAGCGCAGGCCAGCCAGGCGAGGCTGGAGAAAGAGCAGAAAGAGCTGGCAAAGCTAGCCGAGGCGGCTCGCACAAAGCAGAGGGAGGAGTACGCAAAGATGATGACCGAGGCGGGGCGTTCGCAGCATAATCGGGCCGACAAGCACACATACGTCACCGAGGAGGGTTACGAGGAGAACTGCTGCGAGAAGACGTGCGGGTGGGACCCGCACTGCATGGTCTGAACCTAGATGCGAACGCTCGCGTGATGTGATCTCCCACTCCCCAACTCGGTGACGACCTGC